AGGAATTAACAGATGACTTTTTGATGGAGATGAGTGATTCCAAAGCAGTGCAAGATGATAAGGAAGAAAACTTAGAAGCAATGCCAAAGAACAAGCTGATGTAAGACAATCTGGCAGAAGGGTTCCAATTATTCAAGGCTGCTTTTGACTTCTTTTACAACATGGACTCTTCTATGATATGGACACTGAAACTAAAGCAAACAGTAGAAGGATTGGTACCATATAGAAACATTTTTAGAGAAATGAAAAAAGCAAAAAGTCAGACAGATTAAAATGTATTTCTGTGGAGTTAGACCAAGTGTGACTGCCTCTTGTGCATCCCCTTCCACCTCTGCCACCCCGAGTCAGCAAGACCAACCCCTTCTCCTCCTCCTCAGTCTACTCAATGTGAAGATGACAAAGAGGAAGACTTTCATGATGATCCACTTCTACTTAGTGAAGAGGAAATACGTTTTCTCTTTCTTAGGATTTTCTTTATAACATTTACCTTTTTTCTAGCTCACTTTAAGAATACAGTATATAATACAAATAACATACAAAATGTGTTGATTGTTTGTGTTACTGGCAAGACTCCCAGTCAACTGTACGCTATTAAGTTTTGGGGGCATCAAAGTTATACATGAATTTTCGACAGGACAGGAGGATGATGCCCCTAACCCCTGCATTGTTCAAGAATCAAATGTACAACTCTCTATCCTAACAGAAAAAAAACTACATGAATGGTAAATTACTTGAGGTCTATTCTTCATTCAACACATTTTTATTGAACACCTATTATATGTTCTGGGGACAAGAAAAAGTCTCTGCCTTCAAGGGACTTACACTCTAGTGGGAAAGGAGACAGACAGTCAAAAAATAATCACGATAAAATGGTGGTAAGTGCCATGAAGGAAATTAACAAGGCGGTATAACTGATAATGGATAAAATGGGTAACTACTTTAATTAGGGTCATGAGAGAAGGCCCTCTAAGGAACTGACAGCTGACAGCTGAGAGATAAGCAGCAGCCAGCCAGAGATGAACCTAAGAAAATACATTCCAGGCAGATGAAACAAGCTTGCACAAGCCTGATACGAGAAAGAATAATAGAAGAGCAGAATAATAGAATAATTGGACTAATAGAAGAGCAGAGGGAGGTCAGTGTGGTGGTGAGGTAAAGGAGTGAGGCTGTAAAGGAGGTGAAGCTGGAAAGCAAGGCAAGCATGATAATGAAGGGCCTTGGAGGCCACCAAAGAGAAAGCCAGGAAAGGTTTAAGTAGGAACAATGTTAGTTTCCAAATTTTGAAGCTCATTCATGTGGCTATGAAAAACCAACTGTAGGAGACAAGAATGGAAACAGACCAGTGGGTCACACAGTAGGCCAGGTAAGAGTGAAGGAGGCTTAACCTAGTAGCTGTGGAAATGCAGAACTGGCATGACATGGTAGTAGATTAGATATGGAGCTTTCGACCTGAGCAACTGGAGAAACTCACTTACTAAAGTAATGAAGAGTTGTTTTACTCTTCAAATTTCAAACAACTGAAAAACAATTTTAAAAATACAAAAAAATGGATTTTAGATATTAGACACCAGGCAGCACAGGATAGTAGAATTAAACAAGGTGAGTCCCATAACCGCTCCAAGATTATTTCATTCAAGCAGTTTTACAAGGAGGCAGTTTCTAGGCTGTGGTGCAAAAAGGAGAACCCAAAAAGAACCAAGTAGTCTTGCTGAGTTGAGGAGACAGAATTGAGAATTTGGAGAAGGCCTGGGGTCTAGAATTTATAAGTAGGAATACCAGAGAGAATGCAGCTGCACAGAGAAGGGAGGGTTCCAGAGACATGCAGAGGGCTCCTTTCAAGTCTTTAGCTGAATATTGATCAGCACAAGCATATGAGGGAATACCCAAGAACAGGTTAAGAACCTCCAAGAAGCAGGCAGAAAAATTCCAGAAGTTCACACAAGTCTGGGAATAGTTCACGCTACTACAGCCAAAGAAAAAACCTCATAATGAACAGAGCATCAGGTAGAGTACTCAGAAGGATATTGCTTCAGTGAATGGAGAAAAACTAAAGGCTGCTCTTGCCCACCTAACAAAGCTTAAAAGCAAGCCTTGAAATAATGAGACTATTTCCAATAACTTCACAGTGTTCCAAAACAAAGTCTCAAGAGTATTTAAAAGACTACCAAGAAGAATACATACATACACACAAACACCAACAGTATAAAATTCATAGCCAATAAAAAATTACCAGGCATGCAAAACAGCAGGAAAATGACCCAAAATGGGGGGGGGGGGAGTGACACAATAACTGTTTTAATATCCTTATATAGTATTCCTATTATAAATGTATTATGTTACATGAGGTAGAGAAAAGAATACTCATGTTAAAGAGAGACATGGAAGATATAAAAAAGACCAAAATCAAACTTCTAGAGATGAAAAATGCATAGGATGGGATTAATAGCAAATTAGTGCAAAAAAAGCAAACTTGAAGGCACAGCAAATGAAATCATCCAAAATTAAAACAAACATAAGGCTGGACAAACATATAAAGCATCAGTGAGTTGAGGAACAACTTCAAGCAGTCTAATATACATGTAAATTTGAGTCCCAGAAGGAAGTAGGTAAGAGTAGACTATAGAAAATTTATTTTAAGGAATAGCAAAAATGTTTCCAAATTTTATATGAAAATAGAAAACTCTATATAAAATAATATGAAAATTACAAACCCACAGATCCAATAAGTTCAACAAACCCCAAGCACAGAACACATGAAGAAAACTAAACCAATGTACACTATAATTGAATTACACAAATTCAATGGTAAAGATAAAAATCTTAAAAGTAGCCAGAGTTTTAAAAAAAAAAAAAAAAAAAAAAAGACACTTACAGAGGAGCAAAGATTAGAGTGACTGTAGACTTCTTGTCAGAAACAATGCAACCCAGGAGGTAACAGCACAACCACATCTTTAAACCTAGAATTTTATACCCAGCAAAAGTATCTTTCAAATATGAAGATTCAAAATCTTTCTCAATAGGGTAGGCCTATACACCTTGCTAAAAGAATTTTGGATTTTCATCTTCAAAGTGCTAGTAAGCTACTAATGGATTCTAAATGACGAAACTTACATTTCAGAAAAGACATATTACACTTTTGAGATGAGTGGGTTAGGCATGGGGGAAAGAGGAGTCAAGCATACATAAGAGCAGAGATAGCAGAAACTTGTTCAAAAAACCAAGGATGCTGACTTAAGAGCAATGGCAGTGCGGAGGAAGAAAAAGTGGACTGATCAGAAAGATATCTAGAAGATAATTATTCAAAGACTTGGTGATTGATTGGATGTGAGGTATGAGGAAGAAAAATGAGTCAAGAATCATTCCTAAGTTACTGATATGATTAACTATACTTACATATAATTTTAGCCATCTGAAAAATAATTTAAACCAATATACACCATCAAAACCACAACTGAAGCAATCCACACAAGTGAATTAATATACTCTAAACACTGCTTTTAAACTAAGAATTCACTGTGTAAAAGTTGTACATAAAAATAGAACAGCATTTTTGTAGAAGAAAAAGATGAAGGCATCAGTTTTCATTTGAAATCTGCAGTGAGCTCAATTTTGGATTTGAGATTACTGCTACTGTTCCCTATGGAAAGAGTAAAAGCATGGTTTCTATGAGCCATCTGTTGAGATGCTGAAGTGCTTCTACAGAACACTTCCTTCTAAAGGTAGATCCCTATAATGGAGTTTTACCATTTAAAAAATTATAACTCATGTATAAAAGGTTGCATATTTTTGGTAATCAACTTCTAGTTCAGCAACCTTGCTTTCTATGTTTCTATCTTCACAGGAATTATCAGTGAGATTTTTTTTAAAGGACTTTAAATAGTAACATATTTATTGTAGATTTGCTAAGTATTAAATACTTTACACTGTGCAAGTACCTTACATGATAACCTCATTTAATCTTAACAACCCTATTATGTAGTTATTATCCCCACTTGTAGTTATTATTCACATAAATGGGTTAAGAAGTGAGGAAATTAATATACAAAGAGCTAATAAGTGGCAGGGCCAAAGATTTGAACTCAGAAGTCTGACCTCAATCCCTGGACTCTTCAGAAATCTACCTCTAAAACTCACAAATCTTCCTGCTTATTAGAAAATATGCAACTGATACTCTGATTTTGAATGAATACATGCTTTACATGTAATAACCAAGTTTCTAAATTATGTTTATTTAAAAGTTCACAAAACCTTATCATTAAAATGTTCAAGCTTTCAATTTGCCTCAAGAGATTCTTCAAAATTAGCCAGGTGTGGTGGTGAGCACCTGTAATCCCAGCTACTCAGGAGGCTGAGGCATGAGAATCACTTGAACCCAGGAGGTGGAAGTTGCAGTGAGCCAAGATGGTGGCACTGCACTCCAGCCTGGGCAACACAGCGAAATTCTGTCTCAAAAAAAGGAAAAAAAAAAGAGATTCTTCAAAGCAGGTAACTTAATGAGCAAGAATTATAAGTAGACTATTAGAGCTTCATTAACATATGTATATGCATGTGTATAACAGGATGCTGCATTACAGAATCTATATCATCAGAGGCATGGCATGGTAGACTATAGACACTGAGGACCTGAAAATGTACCGAGGGTTTAATACATTAAGTTGCACAACAGATAAACTATCAATGATGCTTGTGATAGGACACATAACACTGTTAGGAACCACAACTCAGATGATCTATATGGAAACCATGATTCCATGACTTCCACATAGAACATGGAAACCATGTTGTATGATGGAAATGGATGAGTAGGCATATACTTAAATTTTTCATGCTGAATTACATGGCATATTGTGTGCATGCATCGTTCACCAACAACTATACAGTTATTAGGATTAACTCAAAATTGTAAACTAACAAAACATTTATCCACAGTTCAACAGAAACTCACAGTTTAAAAGTTATTTTTCTTCCTTCAACAACAAAGAAAACCTAGAAACTGAAAGTCTCCAGTAAAGTTCTTTTATTTGGATTTAACCTAAAATAGTTTGATCTCTCTTTGATAGAGAAATGAAATCTCCAATTCTATAGACTATAATGTAAAAATATTGAATTTGCATATTTCCAATAAAAGACATTTGCTTCATGCTTTGGGCATCTACCATAGTTGCCCAAAAGACTATGGCCAGTAAACATAACTGTCACAGTACAGAAGTGCACATAATAAATTTACTAACTTACAAAATTGTCCTTGTGTTACCAAAACACACAGTGTCTTTAGTCGGCTGACTATTCATGTTGTTTGAAAAGCATGAAAATACAGGTTTTTAGCATGCACGCCCAGTTGGAAAAGGACTTGTTCCTCTGGAAACACCATTCATTCGCTTTGGCAGAGCTAAGAGCACCTGTGCATGTGAACAAGCAGGTGGGTATCTCACTGGTTTCTGCAGTCATCTCTTTCCTTGATAGGTAAGTTTTGATACCAGTCAGGGGAGAGTCCGGGCATTTAACTCAGCTTATGATTTAATTTTCCACAGCTAAGAAAACAAAATTACCAAAATAAGTTAGTTCTAGGAAAACCAGGTGGGATTTATAGGTACACTTACATGACTATAAACAAAGAATCCTTTATAAAAGAAGAAAAGGTATCAAGTCTGGCAATAGCAACCATAGAACATCATAGAGAAAAAGCATTTAAAACTTCCAGGATCAAAAATAATACAATGCAGTTCATGAACTGGTTTTCATTCATTCTACCTCTGTACATTTCCCAGGATAAGAGTAAGACCGTTACCCAGCTCAGGCTATTAAACTGATGTGAAATTCAAACTTGATTTTTTTTGTTCCATTCAAGAGCACTGTCTGTTATACTTGTGTAAAATGAGAACACCAAAGCTTTGAAAGAAAAGCCTGTGGATCACCAATCAAAATGCCTATTTCTTTACCTCAAGAGTTATTTCCATGCTAGAAACACACACACACATACACACACACACACGTGTGAAGAACACAGACTTCTGTACATAGTAATTTTTAAGACTAAGATGCTACAGAGTGGTGGGGATACTTACTCTTATATTAAATCCTAGAAGATCACTTATAACACCTGAGACAGCAGAAAGGATAACTACTCTTGTGATATTGTAGATTAAGGGATTCATTGTCAGTCCATAGAGTCTAAACGGTGTGTCCAGCTCCTACAAAAAACATCAAAGAATTGAAATGAGATACATGTTTTCTCATAGCTACTCAGTGACTTCTTGCTGTGTTTTGTCTTGGGTATAGATGAATGCTTAAGGCTGCCTTTCCTTAATATTCAAAGAGCTACCTTCAAAACATCCAAAACGCATTCTCACCTACTTTTCTACTAAGATTTTTTTTTAGGTGGATTTGAGCAATATGTCATTTGTGGTTTAAAATATATAAAATATGACAGACATCAGCAATCATCAGAACCCGGATAACAAAATTGGAAATTTTTTCATAGTAGTTATTAACCCAAAATCATCAAGTCAGCATTTTGAATCTACACAGCCTAGCATCTATCTCTACTGGGTTCTGAGAAGTAAAACATTAATTAATTTATTTAAAACAGGCTAACTCACTTTATTTTTCTGGTATAAAACCACCACGTGGTGGCAACAGCTAGAGCCTGGGTCCTCCACATGGAGACTCTGGTATGGGTCTCTAGGCCATAGTCAGTGAATTCCAGATAGGGAGACTTGATGAACATGTCTCTTTCCAGAGGTTGGGGCTGAAATAGCTGTAGGTATTGGAGATGGCACCAAAGGTGCCCTTGGCAAAATTGGTCAGGGTAGCAGCGCAGTCCCCAAAGTGCAGCAATGGTGGGTATCCACCATCAGCAGCAGGTTCTTGGGCACAGGGGCTAAGACGCTACCAATGCCTCTGGAGGCAGGGATGAGGCCACCAGGACAGAGATGCAGGCTGCCAGTCACCTTGCAAGGGCAGCGTGAGTATGGGGCTTGCTAATCTTGTTTCCCCAGTAGCCTCCTCACACAGGGAGGATAAAGAGCTTGACCATGATTATAGCCCCATGGAGGGTGCTGGCTACCTACGTGGAGCACTAACACCCAGAACAACATAGCCACTGTAGTCCTCGATGGTGACAAATGCCTTGAACCTGGTCCTTGATGCACAGGGAGAAGAGGCGTATCTCCTCCAGGGGCTTGATCTTCATGTCCTTGACCAGATGGCCCAACTTGGTGATGGGAAGCCACTCTTTGTCCTTAACCTTGCCTCCAGGAGCTCTGTGACCTCAGCTCTGGTCCTAACCACCACTGTGACCCCTACCCCTGATGCCACTGTGGAAGAGTCCACTTCCAGGACTCCTCCCAACCCAAGGTATCATCTGCCATTTAATGTTTTCTCAGAGAAGAGACTGATTTAACTTAAATGATAGTAAAAGTGTATCACAGCCTATGACTTACTTTCAACAACTTGGTGGACAGCTTTAATACATTGTTTACTAGAGTAAGCTGTTCTTTCTTATTTGGCTTTTTTTCCATCTTAAGATATAAATTAATCTAAGGGAAGGAATAGAAATTAAGGTAAATTTCTTAGGAAAAAAAATATGTATACTGCATAAAATCTGGCATATTTCAAAGGTCATGTTTTCAAGTAAAATAAATTTTGAAATCCCAATAACTATTGATACAGAGAACATACGCCACATACTCTAGCCCCCAGCCCTGATCAGTCTCACTCTGGCAAAGAAAAAGTACTTAGTGATGAAAAAATAATTAATGATGAAGCAATTTAAATATCAAAACAATGAAAAATTTTAATATTACTTGCAATATAACATAATTAGCACATAAGCACCTTGAGTTCAAAACCTATATCTTACTCATCTCACTATCCCCCTAGATAATCTAACATCCTCATTAAACATGGAAGAAGATAGCTCCTGTTACTTTACTAATTCCTTATATTTTGCCTTGTATGAAGAATTCTCCAGTATGATTCTAAGACAAAAAAAAAAAAAGAATGATAAATGCTTTTATTCAAAGTTTATGGAAAAACTTGAAATTAAAAACAAAATTACAAAAAAAACACTTTATACTACTCTGTATTTACAAGAGATATTTCTCAATCTTAGTATCTATTCACATATTGAAAACCAAGTATTTTCCAAACATTGAATAATGTATTTTATGTCTGATACAGAAGAATTCAAGAAGCTTATTATACATGCTAAATAACACGTACTCTAAAGATCTAATACTTGACATAGAGTATGAGATTAAAAGCATGCTCCATTACCACCAATAAAAATCTCTCTATAGTGTACAAAGTCTTTTCAATCCATTAGATCTTAATTCTCATAATCCTGGGAGCAAGAGGAAATATTACATCCATTTTATTAGGGATAAGCAACTACAGAGCAGCAAAATGACTTGTGAGGTCCTTTAGCTAGAATGTGATAGCTAGACAGTGATTAAACCCTGAATCCTCTGCAGGGACCTTACAGTGTATTATGCTACCCCTAACCACTAAACCCAATTGACAGGACTGATCAATACCTGTTCTGTAAGTAATATCGAAACATTGCTGTATTTCTTATTGGTTTCAGATCCCAATGAGGCCAGACGCAATAAGAAAAGTAGTAAAGCTGTTTCCCAGATCAAAAACTCCCAGTTATAAGCATCATTCAGGAAAGTTTTGTGTCCTTGGAGAACCTATACAAAGGATCAAAAAAAGTTAAGTTTTTCATTTACCTTAAAATCATATAATTACTTTTACTCTGTCAATTTAAGAACATTTCCAAAAATCCAGTATTTTAATACTCAAAGCAGAAGAGCTTTAATACCCAAAGTATTACCTATTTATTTAATCATTATATATTTAAGTTTCCTAGATTTTCTCCTTTAGCAAGGGTCTAGAAGTAACAAAGAAGGAAAATACCACAAATAAAATAAGACAAATGCATTTGCAACTACTTTAACCATCAGTGTGTCTACTCACAACGATATGGCAACCATTATTCAAAGTAATAACTTTGCATTATGTCAAGTGAGCTCCCTAAAACATGTGGCTCATTCCACTGGTATGACTAGAAAGTCCTAACGATCAGTTCTTTATTCTGTTTTAGGCTCCAAATAACAATAGCAGCAGGAACTATGCATCAAATTTTCTGGTAAAAGGTTTTTGTTTTTGTTTTTAAATTTGTTGATTTAAAAGTAAAGAAATTTACTCAAACAAGCCCAAAATAAGATGGAATTTACTGAAAAACATACAGATAATGCTCACAGAAACCTTGTGAAAAACAGGAAGTCACCAAGCAGCTGCCCTCTGCATCTCGCTTCCCCCAGGGCTACGTAGGCTCCCATCTCCACTCCTCTTAGCCAGCTCCATTGCCTTACAAGACCTTTGTTTTCTGCCTCCCCACTGAGTTTGACTCATATTAGCTTTGGCTTGTCATGGCACCCTAGCAGCAGACTTCTCAAGATAAAATGTGGAAATCAGAAAGCAATAGAATCCTAAAAGTGCTGAAAGGAAATAACTGGCAACCTGGAATTCGATTCCTGGTAAAAAAAAAATATATATTCAAAAGTGAAAGTGATAAAATATATTTTCAAACAAGCAAAAACTGAGGGAATTCATCACCAGCAGACTGTCACTAAAATAAATACTAAAGGAGTTACTCAGGTAGGAGGAAAATAATCCCAGAGAGAAACACAGAAGTTCAGGAAATAATAAAAAGCAATGGAAAAGGTAAATATGTGAGTAAATACAAATGATTAATTACACAAAACAATAATAATTACATCTTGTGGTTTTAAAATATATGTAAAATTAAGGTAAAGGACAATAATACAAAAGGTGAAAAAGTAAATGGGATGAACTGTTCTAAGGGCCTAGCATTATCAAGAGAGTGATAAATTAATCATTTTATTAGACTATAAAAAATTAAGCATGCATGTTGTAATCTCTTTACTACTTAAAACAATAGTAAAAGAATATATAACAAGTTAATAGGATTAAGTGGAATATTTAAAAATATTTGGTTAATAAAAAGATAAGAGGAGTGAAAAAGGAAAATTAGCAGGTAGCAAAAGTAAGAACCAAATATATTTGTGGTTATAGTAATAACATTAAGTTTAAATGGGCTAGACACTCCAAAATCTAAGACTGTGAGGATGGATGAAAAAACAAGCAACCAACTGGGAACAGTGTCTCATGCCTATAATCCCAGCACTCTTGGAGGCAGAAGCAGGAGGATCCCTTGAAGTCAGGAGTTCAAGGCCAGCCTGGGGAACAAATCCAGACTCCACTTCTACAAAAAATTAAAAATTAACCAGGCTAGGTAGCACGTGCCTGTAGTCCCAGATACCAAAAAAAAAAAAAAAAAAAAAAAAGAAGAAGAACGAACGAACGAACACCAAGCAACCATAAGAGGACATGCTGATTATGAGAGACACAACTAAAATATGAGAACAAAAGAATAAAAACAGGTAGACAAAGATATAACATGTAGAAATGAATCAAGACAGCTGGTGCAACGAAATTAACATCAAATCAATAAGAAACATTACAAAGACAGACATTTTGTAGGGTCATGAAAGGCCAAGCCTGACATTTTTCCAGATTAAAGGAGACTAGAGACATGACAATTAAATGCAATATGTAATTCTGAACTGGATCCTGGACTCAGAAAAAAAAAATAAATCACTATAAAGGACATAAAAGTCAATTGCCCAAAAAGATGGATAACAAAACTAAATCTGGTTGTACCCCGTTACACATAAAGCAAACATCGACAGAAGAGGACACATAGACAAATCCACAATCAGACTTGAACACACCTCTATCAATGACTGACAGAATAAGCAGACCAAAAAATTCAGTAAGGATGTAGGTAATTTGATACATATAGGACACTGTCTCAACAATGACACAATATAAATCTTGTCAATGTGCTAATGGAAAATTTAATGAAACTGAATATATGCTGGATAATAAAGTAAACCTCTACATATTTAACAGGACTGAAAATATTCAGAGTATGCTTTGACCACAGTAGAATTACATTAAAATTCAATAAATGCAAAAGTATAAGATAAACCTGTAACTTCTTTTAAAGCAGAAAGCACAGAAGTGCTTTACAAAAAGGAGACCCTATCAAAAGGATAAAGGAGGGGGTTTCTAGGGGCTCCCACTGGCCAAATTTGGGACAATGTAGGCATCAAAGCAAATATAGTAACAGATTTTTTTTTTTTTGTAGAGATGGGTCCTCATTATGTGGCCCAGGTTGGTCTTCAACTCCTGGCCTCACACAATCCTCCCACATTAGCCTCCCAAAGTGCTGGGATTACAGGTGTTAAGCTACTATGCCCAGCCTATAGTAACAGATTTTAACCCACTGTATAAAAATGAGAATACATGATTCCACAGTATAATAAATAAATGAATGAATAAATTAGAGGGAAAGAAATGAAAGATCTACCTTGGAGTGACAACTAATAAATACAGAACGAATAATGTAGTCGGAAAGTCAATATTTTACAATCATACAATAGTTTTATATCAATTAATAATTACCAACTAAAATTAGACTGATCTTACAGTTTGAAAGGACTTCAAAATTACTTGTATTCCCATTTTGAAAAGTTAGAAAAATTACCAAATATCCAAAATAGTAAAAAATGTAGATGTACTACAAATACATACTTAAAGACAGTGACCTAAGTCTAAAACAGAAAGTGAATCCTATATTAGAATTTTCATTTTTCCTTAAAGCAGATGTGAAACTTTTACCTGAGCACAACAAATGAAAGCAATCGAAAGTGTCAGTAGGAAGACTGAGGATACAACCACATCAACTGAACGCTGTGGCCCCCGTCTCTGTGGAGTGAGACACGTGTTAATGTTTTAGATTACTGGCAGACAGCAACCGCCCTCACATCATTCACACTCTGAATTGTACTACATTCGTGTGAAAATGTTTATAAGAAGTTTCTGAGATAGGATTTTAACATATTCAGTACATAAAGTCATCAACTTTAAGTACTGAAATCCATGCATTTCCAAATTAAGGGTGACTGATTCATTAACATACTGGAATATTTCCCAAAAAAGCTGGAATATTTCCCAAAAAAGCTGGAATATTTCCCAAAAAAGTCAGAAAAATATACATTAATTATCACTTTGCCCCTAGGAAATTTAGATTTTCTTTTCCCTTTCTAAGCTCTTCTTTACCTACCCCTACCAGCTTTGCAGAGAGATGACATCCAACTTGCTGTCCAGCAAGTTTGTCAGCTGCTGGTATGATCTGCCTGACACCCAGAACTACACTGTCTACTGAGTAACTGCTGCCAGGAGCTTCAGTGAGCATATTCTTGCATATACTCTATTGTTAATCAAATAAAACTCACCTTTAGATAGGAACGCAGTGATAACCATATTTTAATATTCTCCACCTTCTTAAGTCTGAAATGAGGTATTTCATATTTCCTAGCTTTCCTGGCAGAAGTAATATGGCTGAAGAGTTTTGCAAATAAAAATCTCTAGAAGAGGTTTAAAAAAAAATCACAGTGAAATGTATGTATGTGTCTGTGTATTCACATAATTGCCAATGATATTTGCAGAATACAAAAATGTTAAAAAGAATGAAGTTCTAATCAGTGATCACTAAGATGGGCAGTGAAAATTTTCATTAATAGCTCATTACCCTGTTGTTTCCAAAGCACATTACATAGTAATATACTTCTTCACAATGTGGTACACTCAACATTTGCAAGGAATATTCTTTGGAGACCCCCAAAGAATGGTTGGCATTTGTGGATCCACTACTTCACAAACTCAAATGTTTATAGATCATTCTGCCTTATTCCCAAATTAAATTTCTATTCAAAATCACATTTCTGGGGCTGGGCATGGTGGCTCATGGCCTGTAATCCCAGCACTTAGGGAGGAAAGACAGGGGAATCACTTGAGCCCTGGAGTTCAAGACAAGCCTGGGCAACAAAGTAAGACCTCACCTCTACAAAAATACAAAAAATTAGTCGGGTGTGGTGGCGCAGGCCTGTAGTCCCAGCTACTGGGGAGGCTGAGCTGGAAGGACTGCTTGATCCTCAGGAGGTCAAGGCTGGAGTGAGCCGTGATCACACCACTGCACTCCAACCTGGGCAACAGAGCGAGACCCTGTCTCAAAAAAATAAAATAAAATAAATCACACTTCTGCATATCACCAATATTTTAAACCCTCCATCCTTAATTTTTATCAAATTTCAATTTATGTATCTCTCACTTGGCCATTTTTCACAAAAACATTATCACATGTAGATAATTATTTTATTCTATGGATAAAAAACAAAAAAGGGACACTGAGGTACAGAAGCTAAGCAGTCGGCTAGGCTCACTCACTGGCTAAGCCACTTATTCTACACGTGGAGCCTGGCAAAATTTCAGATTACAATGTGTAATACGTAAACAGTCAATAACACAAACAATAAATCCACAAATATCAAAAGTCCACTTATCAATCCTTTATTGCCCACATCAGCTTGAAGAGAGATCAAATCAAGAGAACAAAAACAACTCAATGGAATATCATATACAAAAACAGAGGTAAAAAATTTTACTTATTTCTCCACTGACCTGTTTATATGTTCTCTCTGCCACACACATCATGAAAAAAAACATCCAAGTAAGACACAATCTTTCAAAAAAATTAATTATGGACAAAACAATAATAGGTGTAACAGGTGGTGCCCCACAAAAGAGAGTCAAGATCTCCTCAGCTGAAATGGACTTTAGCTGGTCAAGGCTCTTCTCACGGAAAAGTCGATGTAAGAATGGAAAAAATGCTAATCCAATAGTGACAACATTTCCCAGCATCTGATAACCTACTCCTTGCTGATAGGCATTGACCTGTGAATTATTTACAATTTCTATCATTATTGTGTAGCTAAATGGAGTTACAAAGCAGTATTTATCAAACACTATTCAGACTATTAAAAACACATTCTAAAAGTATAAATACAAATGACATACAGATTTATGACTTTTAAATCTTATTAAAAATTGGGATTCAATGAGATAGGAATATCTGTAGAGCATACCTGAACAGTTGACTATGCTAACAGAGACCAGGTATAACAAATAATATATATATTACCATGTAAAGACTCTGACTACAAAATTACATATATATGTTAATAATATATTACATACAATATAGATGATATATATATATGTGCTTCAAAAGCAGAGTCATACTGTTTTAATCACTAAGAGATTCTTATAAAATAGCTCCGGATCACTTAGTATATTTTTTGAAAAATCTAGAAACATATTCAATCTTACCCTGCTCATGATGATGCCACTTATTTCCAACACAGACATATCCATCTTTTTGCACTCATTCCCCTCCCAGATTATTGCACTAACTCGATCAGAGGAAGGACTTGAATTCTGAAGCCAGAACAAATGATTCTGAGAAGAAAAATATAAAATTGTTTCTATCCATGCTTTATTGCCTCCATTAGTTTTTCTCTCCCAGGCTCCATTCATTTGCCAACACTCTAATAACCGCTTCTATAATGCTGGTCCTTTTTTCCTTTTTCTTTTTTTTTTTTGAGACAGGGTGTCACTATGTTGCACAGGTTGGTCTCAAACTCCTGGGCTCAAGCAATCCTCCCATCTGCCTCCCTCTACACAGCCTTCTGTGTAGCAAGGACCACAATCACATACCACCATGGCCCGCTAGGTCCATTTTTCTTCACTAAGCCATTCTCTTACCTAGGGAGAGACTAAATGTCTTCTGTTATGAGGAGAGATAGCAGTCCATGATCTCCAAGGTTGCTTCCCTCTCTAAAGGTATGGAAGTGAGGATAAGCTTAGTGTAGTCATGGGCTATTAAGAAAGAATTTCTAGAGCTACGAGATTACACTGGGAGTAATAGGAAGTAAAGGAAGATACTAAAAGGCCTTATACATCACATGAATGACTGAGGAGTTAAGTCTGTTTCTGGTCTAACCAGGACACAGAGAATTAGTGAGGCTTAGAAAAGCTCAAGTGGAGACAGTCACAATGAAAACAGCTCCCTCTCCTCCTCTGCCATATCATGTCTCATTCTTTAAATACTAGCTCAAGTCCCATTTCACCACCATGGTCCTCTCTGACAGCCTCAGCCTTACTAACTTTGCCCTCCTCTGAAATGAAAAACTTTTACAGTCTGTATCAGACAAATTAGCATTTTATTATATGGTGCGTTTATGTTGTCCTCTACTTATTTCCTATATAATTATCTTGTTCCCAAACTAAAATATAACCTTCTAGAAAAGGACCATCTGGCATATTTTTTCTCTTTCTACCAAAACGAAATTTTTTCTCTTTCTACCAAAACAAAATTATTTCTACCATAATGCCAACAAGCATTTATTGATTTGAATCACTGATTTGACTGATTCACTGACTTATACAACTCATATTTACTAAGCACCTACTATGTATCATGCCTGTGGATAAAATGGAGAACAAGATAGATGTCCTTGCTACCAAGGAGTTTATAGACTTCTGAAGGAAGTTACTATACAGCATGGTAAGGAAAAGCAAGAGTGCTTTAGGAGTATATAGGAAAGGCTTCCTGAAGGAAGCATCACTCAGGCCAAGATCTGCCTGGAAATAAAAAGGAATGAACCAAAAGAATGGGCATTAGAGAAAATTATGTCCCAGGCAAAGAAACCTGTATGCATATGGGCCCAGAGGCGCATGAGGCCTGGTTACATATGAGAAACAAAGAAGGTTAGTCAAGTTCACCATGTGAGGAGCAGGGACAGAATGGTCAGAGATGAAACTGTATTAGAACAAATAAAGGAACAGAAGCAAGCAATCCAGAAAGAAGAAAAAAGGATTTTAAAGGAAGTGGCATTATCAGATTTGTATTTTAGAAGTATCACTCTGGCTGTAGCAAGGAAAATGAAAGGAACAGAGGCAACCCTACAGAAGTTACTGTAATAGCTTCTTATCTTATCCAGTTGAGATAAGATGATGGCCTGCACCAAGCTGGGTGACCACAGAGATGCAGGTATTTAGACAGCTGAATCAAAAGAACATAAGCGATTAAGGGTGGAAAGAATGGGGCCAGCTGGGCATGGCGGCTCATGCCTGTAGTCCCAGCACTTTCAGAGGCTGACGCGAGTGGATCACTTGAGGTCAGGAGTTTGAGACCAGCCTGGCCAACACGGCAAAACCCCATCTCTACTAAAAATACAAAAATTAGCCAGGTGTGGTGGTGGGCAGCAGGCGCCTGTAATCCTAGCTACTCAGGAGGCTGAGGCAGGAGAATCACTTGAGCCTGGAAGGCGGAGGTTACAGTGAGCTGAAATTGTCCTACTGTACTCCAGCCCGGGTGACAGAGTAAGACTTCATCTAAAAAAAAAAGGGGGGGGGGGGTCAAGAATGACTCCAAGCTTTTTGACTTGGGTGGGTAGTATAGTATTAAGAAACACAGGGAATAAAAGAATAATAGGCTAGGTGAACAGGATTGGAAAATGATTTATTGCATTTGACATGGTGAGTTTACCACACTCAATTATTCTTATATATGTCTTAAAATTATACTGCAAATCTCAAAGGAGGGGAGTACTAAGGTAGATCAAGATGATCATGATGCTATGCATAACTACTGAAAGCAATGTAATTTAGATGAATCTTCAGACTGAATGCAAAAAATATTTAGCCTCACTGCAAAATCAGAAAAAGTAGCATAAAATTTTAATGAGAGCCAGGTATGGTGGCTCACCCCTGTAATCCCAACACTTTGTGAGGCTAAGGTGGGAGGACTGTTTGAACCCAGAAGTTCAAGACCAGCCTAAGCAAGATAGTGCGACCCTATCTCTACAAAAAACTTAAAAATTAGCCAGGCATGGTGGCTAATCAGGAGGCTGAGGTGGGAGGATCACTTGAGCTGGGGAGGTTAAGGCTACAGTGAGTCATGATTGCACCACTGCACTCCAGCCTGGGCAACAGAGTGAACTCTGTCTCAAAAAGAAAAAAAAAAAAAAAAAAAAAAACTTTAATGAGAAAATTTACATTGTTTCTGGTTCATTTTTTTAAAATTATATACATTTAATGAAGTGATTTTTTAAATGAAAATGTATCATCTAAATCAATGGTATCTTTGAATCAAGAAAATTTGATAATTAAGCAAATATGTATCCATCACTCACTATTTGCAAGTCAATGTGGAAATATTTTGCCTAAAGAACAAAAACCTAAGAATCATAACAATCACTGACATTAAGCAACTGAAAGGTTGATATGAGAACTATTTCTTCATCATTCAATCTATCCAGAAGTGGAATAAGCTGTATCATTAAATAACAAGCACTCCAGCTCCAGAAGTATTTAAGAAGAGGCCAATTGATCATCTGATGGAGACATTAATAATAATGCTAACATTTATTGGGTATTTACTCTTGCCAGGTATTATGCTATGTACTTTATCTTATTAGCTATTTCACACTATTCCTAAGAAGCAGGAACTATTATCACCACACAACAGATGGTAAAAAATTTACACAGATATAGAATGAATCTCTACATTGGTTGGAAGGTTGAAATACCTTCTAATGACTGATTTTATGACATTAATATAAAACCTGAAATTAAAAGCATTATTTATTTTATGCACTACTCAAAAAGCAAGCAGTACCATTTCTTTTTTTTTTTTTTTTGAGGCAGAGTCTTCACTCTGTCGCCCAGGCTGGAGTGCAGTGGCACCATCTCGGTTCACTGCAAGCTCCGCTCCCGGGTTCGTGCCATTCTCCTGCCTCAGCCTCCCGAGTAGCTGGGACTACAGGCGCCCGCCACCATGCCCGGCTAATTTTTTGTATTTTAGTAGAGACGGGGTTTCACCGTGTTAGCCAGGATGGTCTCGATCTCCTGACCTCGTGATCCGCCCGCCAATTCATATGTAACACTGTGATGTTCATGAAAATATAAGGTATATTTTCTGTATGCAAACTTTACTCATACAAAATACAAAATACACGTTAAGGACCATTCTAAGGAAAATAATAAGAAAAAGTAATATAAAAAAAATTTAGGTTAGGGTAACTCTAGATTACTTCTCCCTGAATTCTAATCCGAACATCTTCACTTACAGGCTATGCTCAATTTCCTTACCTCTAAACTGGGGATAATAATAGTATCTACCCTACAGGATTATTGTAAAGTTAAATGAGATAACAGAATGCCTGATACACAGTAAGAACACAATAAATACCAGCTATTCTTATCATGCCTGCACAGACCTGCTGAAAAACATCCTCTTTGGGGTCACGTTTGGTCCCTGAGTGAAGGGTATTCACATGAACCCCCTCACTGTCACTGGTGACAGATGACCGGCACTCTGGGCCATGTAGCAGGTCGTCCCATAACATATCCTCAGTCTCTGAGTCATGGCGGGTGCTTTCTGAGTCTCTTCTTGACATGTTGAGGCTTCGAGAGCCACCACTCACACCAGATCTAGAGCCCTTTAAAGGAAAACAAAAAGGAAAAAATTTTCTTCATCTTTAAAAATAATTATATGTGAAATAAAATTAAAACAAGTTATCTACAGCAATGGATTGAAAGCCTTCAAAAGTCAATCACCATGAATTCATTTTTTCACAGGGCTTCACATAACAATAATGCTTTCTTATTTTTTGATACAGGGTCACACTCTGTCACCCAGGCTGGAGTGCAGTGGCATTATCATAGCCCACTGCAACCTCAAACTCTTGGGCTCAAGCGATCCTCCTGCCTCAGCCTCCTGAGTAGCTGGCACTACAGGTGCATACCATCACATCCGTATATATATATATACACACACACACACACACACACACACACACACACACATATATACTTTTTTTTTTTTTGTAAAGAGGGGGTCTCATTTTGTTGCCCAGGCTGGTCTCAGACTCCTGGTCTCAAGCTATCCACCCACCTCAACCTCTCAAAGTGTTGAGATTATAGGCGTGAGCCACCATGTCTGGCCAATAATAGATTTTAGTATTTAAATGTTAAACTCTGATGCCTCTAGCAAGCAGGACTCCCTCTAAGAAGCTATTGCCAAGTTACAGAACTGTTCAACTAAGGTGTTCTGGGAAGGGAGTGATTCCTATAAGCACACCAAGATGACCAACTCAATTGGCTTAGCTGAGCTTTTTGACACACACAAAATGTCCCCAACTCTAAATATTGTGAACTTCACTACAGACCTACTCAGCTCCAAAATGTTAAAGGATAATCAGGCAAAGAAAAGTACAAACATAAATATGAAAGTTATTCCATGATCACAATTGCCTTGTTAATCAAAACAAAAGAAAAACCACACCACCACCATCTACTCTGCTCACCTCTGACTTACAATTTTCCAAATAATATAATATGCCCTTTAGCTCTCATGATGAGATTTACTACTCCCATCTTTTCAGAACTCCTTTCTCAAAAATCTGTCTTCATCAGTGTCAATCCAATTTATGATGTTTAAAAATAAACCTCATATTCCAAGTGAATATTTAATAATCTCATTATTCAGGGATTAAGTAACCTCTTTCTGGGCATCATCTGTGATACTTTTAAACTCAGAGTCAATGTAGAAAAATATTCTTTCGGCTGGGCGCGGTGGCTCAAACCTGTAATCCCAGCACTTTGGGAGGCCGAGATGGGCGGATCACGAGGTCAGGAGATCGAGACCATCCTGGCTAACACGGTGAAACCCCGTCTCTACTAAAAATACAAAAAACTAGCCGGGCGAGGTGGTGGGCGTCTGTAGTCCCAGCTACTCGGGAGGCTGAGGCAGGAGAATGGCGTGAACCCGGGAGGCGGAGCTTGCAGTGAGCTGAGATCCGGCCACTACACTCCAGCCTGGGCGACAGAGCGAGACTCCGTCTCAAAAAAAAAAAAAAAAAGAAAAATATTCTTTCTAGGTATGTAGTCATTAAAAGCTGCCAGATAAGGAGATAGATAATTGGAGACAAGGAAAGGGCTGGCAAATATTAATGTAAACGCAACTTTAGGGCAACCAATAAAAAAAGGAATGGATAAAGTTATTACACTCAAAAATATACCTTGATTTCTCAAAGGGATACTTTACCTGGCTAAAGGCTGCTGATTCAAATTCTGATTCAGCTAGACTATCTGAATCCCGCACAATATGACACCACCTTGTAGTGGTTTTCTTTACCTGCCAAAAATCAAACCAATAAACAATAGGAAGATATGTTAAATGCTTTGTTACTAACTTCAATGATTTAGTCCTATACTTTCATAAACTAAAACAGAAATTACCTGAGAGTTTAGGTGCCTTGAAAGTACTGATTTTCTATTCTTAACTTCACAACCATTGTCACTTGAGGCCCCTTCCACACTCCTACGCAATAATATCATCTGTGTCCGTGCTTCACCATCTTCCTCACTTGACAGGTCATCAGACACCCCATTACCCAAACGCCTAAAAGCCTCCTACAAAGAGAACAGCAATATCTTCACAGGGGACAGCCCAAAATATTGTAATAAGCTGCATGTGTAAAAACAAAAAAATCATACAAACACTATCAAGCAGCAAAAGTAAACTAACCCAAAACTGAATAAATCCATATATTATTAATCTCAATTAAGAAAAATATTAACTTGAAACTAAATATGCTAAATGAAGAGGCAGTGTTATGGAGTATTCAAAAACCAAGACTCAAGTCAAACTCTAAGCCTGAATCACAACTCTTCTACTTACTAGACACATAACCTTGAGCAATTTACTAAATCTGTCTGGAGCTGAGTTTCCTCATCTGAAAAGAAACGATAATAAAAGCGTCTATTTCACAGGTTTGTTGAAAATAAATGAGATAAGTTAGTATACGTAAAGTACTTAGGACAATGCCTGGTTATAGTAATGGCTCAATAATTATTAGACTAAATGCCACGATCTAACCAACAAGAAAACAGTTTAAAACTATCAAGTAAAAGCATATAGCTAGTTTTAGACATAGAGCAGACCATCTCCATCTAAACCTACAAAATAATTTCCCAAACTCTTACTATACTATCACTGCTTCTCTGGAATACAACACAGCCCCCTCTTCACTAATCTGTCTATTAAATCTACCAGCCTGCTGCCAAGGCTGGGTAACTCGCAAAATTAATAACAAGTCTAGTGCTAGAAATTTTAAGACTAAGTTCCAGTCTTCGTGTGATAGCTTCTTTTCATATCCTATGGTTTTACTTGTTAGGACAAATTTACAAACCTACTAGTATCTATTTTATATCTCTAACAGAGTCTTAACAGGAAAATGTTACATGAGGAAAAAAAGGCTTGTTAAATCCATCTAAATCTTACCCTACGGCACTTTTCTCCATCTGAAAATTTTGCTTTCTCTCTTGTTTGCCACATTCTAATCTCTGGTCGACATTGTCTCTTCTTAATGATAGGACGGACACAACTTGGGTCATTGTCAGTTTCAGTCCCTTTGTTAGATATTAATTTTACTCTTTTAATCCTATTTTTTTTAAAAAAAGGAAAAGAAGATTAGTTTTTTGAAAATAACACCTTTCATGAAACCACTTTCTTCTAAGGAATACGCTATATTATTCTGGAAATCAAGAAAATTCAAGAATCATATTTTTCAGGACTTTAGCTTGCTAAGTAAGGGTGTAGAATGACAAAATATTCAATCACAGACTCAGAATGCGAGTCTATTCTTCAAAGACTCAGGTCAATTAACTGAAAGGAAGCATATACTTTTCAGTGTTGCACAAAAGTAGGTTCATAGTCCTCTCCACATCTTCTCAAACACAATGCAACTCCTACCTTATATCGTCTGTTACTGCCACTCCACTAGCCCAGCAGACTTAGGGTGCACATGACCTACTGAGACACCAGCTGAGTGGCCAGGGAGTGCTTGTGCCACCCCTACTGCAAAGCCAGGCAGTGTTGTTCACAGCCCAGGAAGAGACAGAAGAGTAAAAAGGACCAGCTCAGCCAGAGTAGAACAAGGGACCACAGTCCTGAGGCCCCCATTCCAGGACCTAACTTACATTTCTAGACACACCTTGGACCAAAATGCAATCAGCACATTTGAAGGGAAGGATCCAGTCCCAGCAGGAGTCATCACCTGCTGACCAAAGAGCCCTTGGGCTCAAACAGTGGTAGCCAGGCAGTACTCACTGTGGGTCTTGGGTGAGACTCAGAGCCATACTGGCCTCAGCAGTGACCCAGTATATTCCTAGCTGTGGTGGCTACAAGGAGAGACTCTTTCTGCTTGAGGAAAAGAGGGAAGAGTAAAGGGAACCCTGTCTTATAGGCAGGGTACAAGCTCAACCACAGTGGGGTAGAGCACCAAGTGTGCTCTTGAGGTCCCTGATTCTAGGCCATGGCTCCTGGATGGTATTTCTGGACCCACCCCGGGCCAGAGGGGAGCACATTGCCCTGAAGGGAGATACCCAGGCCTATCAGCATTAACCGCAAGCTAACCAAAGAGCCCTTGGACCTTGAGTGAATATCAGCAACAGCCATGCAGTACTTGCTGCAGGCCTGGGGCAGTGGTGGCCATGGGGAGAGATTCCTCTGCTTGAGGAAATGGGAGAGAGGAGTGGGGAGTTTGTCTTTTGGTTTGGGTGTGAGCTCAGCTGCCATAGAACACAGCGACAGGTAGATTCCTAAGGTTCTCAATGCCAGGCCCTGACAGCATCTCCAGATCTGCCCAGAGCCAGGGGTAACTTGCTGCCCTAAAAGGAAGGACATAAGCCTGGATGAATTTGCCCTTGGGCTTTGAGTAAACATAGGTGGTAGACAGGCAAGTGGTCACCATGTGGACCTTGGGCAAGACCCAGTGCTGTGCTGGCTTCAGGCCTGCCCCAGGCCAGTCCCAGTATTAAAGGCCACAGGGGTGCTGTGTCACCCCCTCCTGGCTCCAAGCAGCTCAGCAAAGAGAGAGAGAGACTCCATTTGTTTGGGAGAAAGTTAGGGAAGAGAACAAGAGTCTCTGCCTGGTAATCCAGAGAATTCTCCGAGATCTGACCCAAGACCACCAAGGCGGTCACCTCTACAAGTCTACAGCAGCTGTGGCATTACTGGGCTTAGGGTGCCCCCGAATGCAGATACAGCTGCAGTGACCAAAGACTTAGATCACAACACCCAATTCTCCTCAAATACTTGGAAGGACAGGTACAAAGATGCCCAGACTGTGAAGACTACAACAAACATCTAACCACACAAGCGTCAAGACCATGGAAGAAAAAATGACCTCACCAAACCAACTAATAAGATATAATAAGTGACCAATTCTAGAGAGACGGAAATATACAACCTTAGAGACAGAAAATTCAAAATAGCTATTTTTGGCCAGGCACAATGGCTTATGCCTATAATCCTAGCACTTTATGAGGCCAAGGGACAGGTGGATCACTTGAGCTAAGGAGTTCAAAACCAGCCTGGGCAACATGGCAAAACCTCATCTTTACAAAAAATTAAAAAATTAGCTGGGTGCAATGGCATGTGCCTGTAGTCCCAGCTACTTGGGAGGCTGAGGCAGGAGGATCACTTGAGCCTGGGAGGTGGAGACTGCAGTGAGCCGAGATTGCACCATTGAAAAAAAAAAAAAAAAAAAAGCCATTTTGAGGAAACTCAAAGAAATTCAAGAATACACAGAAGGAATTCAGAATCCTATCAGATAAATTTAACAAAGAGAGTGAAATAACTAAAAAAAAAAAAAAAAAAGAAAAAAAATCAAACAAATTCTGGAGCTGAAAAATGCAACTGACATACTGAAGAATGCATCAGAGTTTCTTAGCAGCAGAATTAATCAAGCAGAAGAAATAATTAGTGAGCTTGAAGACAGATTATTTAAAAATACAGAAGAGACGAAAGAAAAAATAAAAAAGACTGAACACACCTAAAAATTCTGGAAAATAGCCTCAAAACAGCAAATCTAAGAGTTACTGACCTTAAAGAGGAGGTAGAGAGAGAGACAGGAGTACAAAGTTTATTCAAAGGGATAATAACAGAAAAGTTCCCAAATCTAGAGTAAGATACCAATATTCAAGTACAAGAAGGTCATACAATACCAAACAGATTTAACCCAAAGAAGAATACCTCAAGGCACTTAACAATCAAACCCTCACAGATCAAGGATAAAGAAAGGATCCTGAAAGCAGCAAGAGAAAAGAAACAAATAGCATACAAAGATTCTCCAATATGTCTGGTAGCAGACTTCTCAGTGCAAACTTTATAGGCTAGGAGAGAGTGGTATGACATATTTATTTACTTATTTCTTTTTACTTTTTTTTTTTTAAGATGGGGATCTCAGTTGCCCAGGCTGGAGTTCACTGTCATGACAGCTCACTACCACCTCAACGTCCTTGGCTCAGGTGATCTTCTTGTCTCAACCTCCAGCATAGCTGGAACCACAGGCACATGTCACCACACCCAGCTAATTTTTTATTCTTATTTTTGTCGAGATTGGGTCTCCCTAATGTTGCCCAGGTTGGTCTCGAACTTCTGGCCTCAAGCAATCCTCCCATCTTGGCCTCCCAAAGTGCTGGGATTATAGGCATGAGCCACTAAGTGCAGCCAGTCTGACATATTTAAACTGCTAAAGGAAAAACCTTTTTATCCTAGAATAGTATTATCCAGCAAAAATAAACTTCAAACAAGAAGGAAAAATAAAGATATCCCCAGAAAAAAACAAAAGCTGAAGGATTTCATCAACAACAGACCTGCCTACAAGAAATGCAAAAGAGAGTTCTTCAAATTGAAAGAAAAGACATTAATGAGCAATAAGCAATCATCTGAAGGTAGAAAACTCATTAGTAAGTACACAATAAAGACAGAATATTATAACCCTGTAATTGTCGTGTATAAACTATTCATATCTTCAATAGAGAGACTAAAAGATGAACCAATTTAAAAGAATACTACATTCCAAGACATAGACAGTACAATAAGATATAAATGCAAACAACAAAAAGTTAAAAAGCAAGGGAACAGAATGAAAGTGTACAGTTTTTATTACTTTTCTCTTTGCTGGTTTATGAGTTTGTTTGCTTGTTTATGCAATCAGTGTCATCAGTTTAAAAATAATAGGTTATAAAATATTATTTGCAAGCCTCAATGTAACCCCAAATTTAAAAAAAATAACAGATACACAAAAAAATAAAAAGAAATAAATTTTAAAATACCACTAGAGAAAATCACCTTCACTAAGAGGAAGACGAGAAAGAAAGAAAGAAAAAAGAAAATCACAAATGAACCAGAAAACAACTAACAAAGTGGCAAGAGTAAGTCCTTACTTATCAATAATGGCATGGAATGTAAATGAACTAAACTTTCTAATCAAAAGACATAGAGTGGCTTAATGAATTAAAAAAACAAAATCCATGATCTGTTACCTACAAGAAACAAACTTTACCTATAAACATACACACAGGCTGAAAATAAGGCAATGGAAAAAGTTATTCTATGCCAATAGAAACTAAAAATTAGCAGGAGTAGTATATTAGTCCATTTTCATGCTGCTGATGAAGACATACCCAAGATTGGGAAGAAAAAGAGATTTAACTGGACTTACAGCTCCACATGGCTGAGAAGGCCCCTCAGAATCATGGCGGGAGGTAAAAGGCACTTCTTACATGGTGGTGGCAAGAGAAAATGAGGAAGAAGCAAAAGCGGAAACCCCTGATAAACCCATCAGATCTTGTGAGACTTATTCACTATCACAAGAACAGCATGGGAAAGACCAGCCCCCATGATTCAATTACCCTCCCCGGGCCCCTCCCACAACCCACTGGAATTCTGGGAGATACAATTCAAGTTGAGATTTGAGTGGAGACACAGCCAAACCATATCATTCTGCTCCTTGCCTCTCCAAAATTCATGTCCTCACATTTCAAAACCAATCATGCCTTCCCAATACTCCCCCAAAGTCTTAACTCATTTCAACATTAACCCAAAAGTCTAGCGTCCAAAATCTCATCTGAGACAAGGCAAGTCCCTTCAACCTATAAGCCTGTAAAAGCAGGCTAGTTACTTCCTAGATACAATAGGGGTACAAGTATTGGGAAATACAGACATTCCAAATGGGAGAAATTGGCCAAAACAAAAGGGTTACAGGGCCCTTGCAAGTCCAAAATCCAGTGAGGCAATTGAATTTTAAAGCTCCAAAATGATCTCCTTTGACTCCAGGTCTCACATCCACGTCATGCTGATGCAAAAGGTGGGTTCACACGGTCTTGGGCAGCTCTGTCCTTGTGGCTTTGCAGGGTAAAGCCTCCCTCCTGGCTGCTTTCACAGGCTGGTGTTGAGTGTCTGGGGCTTTTCTAGGAGCACAGTGTAAGCTGTTGGCGGATCTACCATTCTGGGGTCTGGAGGATGGTGGCCTTCTTCTCACAGCTCCACTAGGCGGTGCCCCAGTAGGGACTCTGTGTGGGGGCTCCAACCCCACCTTTCCCCTTCCACACTGCCCTCACAGAGGTTCTCCATAAGGGTCCCGCCCCTGCAGCA